TAGGGACGGCTAGCGCAGATAGCCCTCGTGTAGCTTTGCGCGAAATTCAAAACAACCAAACAAAACAAACTATGTCTACATTCGGAGAAGCACGTAGTGAAATAAAGATATCTTTCAACGAAGGTTTCGCCTCGTACATCCTTATCCCAACATAAACAATACTGACATCTAACAAGAAAATATCAAAGTAGTAACGCCACTGAGGGATCTCGTTTACCTACGTTCTACAAGCGACGTTAAAAGAAAAAACAATAATAACATTAACAACAGCGCATTTAATAACTTTTAAGGAGGGGTTATAAGAAAAATAAATGTATTGAAATTCTGTGATTTTTGTTGCTATCATTTAGAGCTAACTTGTGTACAAAATCGTCCACTTCCTAATTAGTAAACTATCCCAACTCAGATGAAATGTACTACATAAGATAAATCATGTAATTGAAGTAAATCATGAGCAGTAGATTGAAACAATAATTTCTTGAAAAAAACAAACAAACCGTAACGCAGAGAAATCAGTCCATTTAACATAAGATTAGCGAAATTGGTTGCATTCTAATGATTGAGTTAGCTGTTAATGGTACAATTTTATTAAAGCCACCTTTGAAGAAGAGATTTTGTACAATATAACGCAAACATCGGCCCAATATCACAAACAGTAGCCATGCAAAAAGCTTCAAAATATGTTCAAAGCCAAGCTAAGTCAACCTAATGAAGTTTAGCCTCTTTGAACCAAAGATAAAAAAGCACGGTAAATTAATCGTTATATTCTTTTCAGTTTGTGTGTATTCTATCACAAAGTTATACAATGGGCTATCCACTTTGGGAATCGAACCCGGAATTTTAGCGTTGTAAATACGTACAATTACTGCTGGGTACCAAGTGGGCATTCTAGTAAGCTAATGAACCTTATTAATAATCTATTTTTGTTCTATTCAAATGTTTTAAGATGAGGGAGGGTGTGACGTAATTTCGTCTCAATTGTAACCAAATTCACAGTTGGTTTTGGGAAGCATATATATGTATTCCCAATCTTGAGAGTCTTATGAATGTAGAAATATACAAGGTTATTTTTGCTTATTTTTTGGGGCGATTTGCCTTATTGAACATCATATTATAATATTTAGAAGGGTGGAGGCTGGGAGTTTTACATATTTAGGGTAGTTTATTTCTACTATAAAGTTAGTTTTATCTAAACAATAAGGGTGACTGCCTTACCACAACTGGCTGCAGACAGTTAAAGGTGCCCCCCAGCGGCACAGCGGTATATTTGCGAACTTACAATGCCAGAAACCGGGCTTTGATACCCGTGGTGGGCAAAACATAGATAGCTCATTGTATAGCTTTGTGATTAACTACAAACAAACAAACAAACAGTTAAAATCAGTAGGAGTTGAGACGGTGTGAGTTCAAGCACCCAACTTATAGCTTTTAACTGATTCTCCATAGCTGCTGGCTAGTTGGACATGTGCACTTGGATCATGTCTGATAGATGTAATATCCCCAATGCTTTTGGGAGCTGTAACCACAAACACTTTCCGTTATGAGTTAATGATGATGATTAGGAGTGGTAATGGACAATTTGTTTGTGTTTTTATTGTGAGCGTTTTGATTCGTATTAATTTCGTTATTGTTCTATAGTGCTGATTTGATCGCCTATTTATACTTAATGTATGTTATAGTATTAGAACTATTGACTTGTATATATTTATATAATTTCGGTTCCGTCTACTGAGTGTTTTCAGTAAATCAGTAACACCATTTGGGGACGAACAGTAAAAGAACCATATTATTTGTAATCAGCTTATCATGATTTTTGGTGTTAACACTAGTTTCAAATATAGATCGACGAACTTGTGAGCAAAAATGAAAAAAAAAATGCTTCCATTCTAGTAAGTATCGCATTTTCTTAGCAGTATTCCCGAATTATAGATTTTCTGTCGATTTCCTGTAAACTTCTGGTAAATATTTAAACAATTTATTACATACGACATATATATACTGTGAATTAACTCCAAGGTGCCTTTGTTTATTATACCCATAAACCAGCAGCATCCGTTGTTTCGATATTTCTGTTTTCAGTAGCAATAACTAGAAACTTGCGATAGTTGTAGCAGAACTAAAATCATATAGTAACATTGTTCCTGTATACTATATTCCATATGACGCACATGACATTCAATTAGCTTCTTTCATCTCATTATTTATGTCTTAAAATCTTTCACTACTCACATTGACTCATCTGTTTCTAAAATTTTCAATCCGAAATACTGGCTTAGTTTGTTAGAAAAATATATCTTTTTTTCTATAATCCCTGTTAACTAAGTATGCCAGTTCCACTTTCGTCGCTATTTGCTTTCAAAACATACGTTTTACACAGAGTAATTAGTTGAGAAACGATAGTTAAAAGGAAACTTTGCAGTCTTTTTTTTTTTTTGTTTTTACTTCTTCACTTGAAATTTCGAATGTGAAAACTATATTTCATGCTCATGTGAGTTCCATGCAAAATTTCCGAGACCATTAATAATAATTTCTGGTGTTGGTTAGATGAGATACTATCCTTCACTGGAATGATCTAATACTTCTTTCATGTGCCGTCCGTCTGAGAAATCTTCAAACGAAACATATTATAAATGAAAATAAATAAAACATATGAATGTGAATATTTTACTCCGATGATGTGATGATTTTTACGTGGTTCTGCAGAATCTAGTTGGTTTGTTTTACTTCAGAAATTCGCGCAAAGCTACACAAGAGAGATCTGCGCTAGATGTCCCTAATTTTGAACAGATAAACTAAAAGGAAACCAGTTAATCAATAGCACTCACCGCCAACCCTTAAGCTACTCTAATCGAATAGTGAAATTTAAATGGCACCAGTCTTAAAACACGCACAAAATGCGGAGCATGATTCTACAACAACACCACTCGAACCTTGGATCTGTAGTCTGACACGCTAACCACTAACGACTGTAACAAACACCAGGGTGTATGACTCGTATATTTGTTTTCAGTCACAGCTCTAGTCATTAAAAGAGTCACGAAAATAAACTCCCAAGTCGGGGGGCTTTGTTCTTCTCCGTGTAAAATACTAATATCGTCGAAGATAATTTAATGGGACCCTGCCTTTTCTACGTGTAAAATACTAATATCATTGGAGATAGTTCAGTGGGTCTCTACCTTTTCTACGTGTAAAATACTAATATCCTCGGAGATAGTTCAATGTGTCTCTGCCTTTTCTACGTGTAAAATACTAATATCATTGGAGATAGTTCAATGGGTCTCTGCCTTTTATACGTGTAAAATACTAATATCCTCGGAGATAGTTCAATGGGTCTCTGCCTTTTATACGTGTAAAATATTAATATCATTGGAGATAGTTCAATGGGTCTTCTGCCTTTTATACGTGTAAATACTAATATCCTCGGAGATAGTTCAATGGGTCTCTGCCTTTACTACGTGTAAAATATTAATATCATTGGAGATAGTTCAATGGGTCTCT